GGTCCAACGGAGAAAAAAGGCCCATATTTGGTACAATTGTACCAGAGTGGCAACCGTGGCGACAGGTGTCACATCATGCAAGTGCCAGTTCATAGTATGCCGCATGAACCAAAAATACAAGATCACGTAAGAACACGACGTTGTATTTGTAACTGGTTTTGAGAAAAAAGTTTGCGAAAGCGGGTTCGTCAGCTGAGCGTTTGTTTACATCACAAGCACCACTATTTTACACTTTTATTCAAGTAAAGAAGAGTTAATTCAACATGACAACACATTTTAAAGCATTTTGTTGCATCATTTTACCTAAATTGTGCGTTTAAAGTGGCTCACAATAATTTTGGCTAATTTTGGTTTTCGTTTTCTTTGCTTTGTTTACTTTTCGCTCGTTTTCCAGTGCAACAAGATGGCGTAGAACCCGCTAAAAAAATCGACTTTTTTCACTCTCTTGTTCTTACGTGATCTTGTGTCTTTCGTTCATGGTATGCCGCTCATACATGTTTGACAATAGTTGCGTTCCAGACTAGGAATGAAATGATACCATGCAGGTATCGATACTTTTACTTGGGAGTAGTATCGATACCCGAAAAATATCGGATCTAAAGTATCGATACCTATTCATATAGATACTTTTGACTATAAAGGTATTCCGTATGAACTAAATAAGTTAAATTTAATTTTTTTGGTCATAAGTTACGATTATCTGGTTTAACGACTACAGAGTGGTGATGTCTAGAAATTTTTATCGAGAATGATTTCAATAAAAAATTTCCAAATAACCAGACTGCTATAACTTTAAAAATCCCTGCTTAAGATTTTTTTTAATCACTTTGTTTTGGGGCCCTTTTTCTTCTTTTTTTTCAACAAGAGACCTAGGCTTCCCTGCCTCTAGTCTTTTCAGCGCAAATGATTAGAACCTGTTCTCGCATTTTACTCAAGGTGTTCATATGCTAACGTGTGTGAAAAGCAAGTAAATTCGTGTAGGTGTTGGTGTGACGAACTCCGGGTTATGCTGGGGTATGCTCATCGGCTGCCGGGTTTCCAACGAAAATAATAAGAGTTCGTTTTTCGGTTTATAGCAAAGCACTCGTCTGTCTTGGTCGTACGTTAAGAGGACGGGAGTAGAACCTACCTGTTCCTCTCCGATTGGTGGGCGTAGCTCCGTCCCACCAAATATAATTACGGCTATAGTAAAGGAGCGGGAGTAGAATCTACCCACAACCTTCCAAGAGAGGGAGTAGAACTTGTCCGTCTCTAAATACCTAGCTAAGTTCTATAGGAGTGGGAGTAGAACCTGCCCATCTCCTGATACCTAACATAGGGAGTAGAACCTACCCTATGTGTGCAAAAGCTCCTGACTCTGCAGCAGTCGTCTGACGACTCCTGTCTGCTTTGATTGCTGGCCGGCTATATATACAAATTGCCGGCCGCAGTCGCGTCGCGTATGTCCCGTTGTCCTTTGCGCCTTGTTCTTTATTGCCATCGTGCTTAAAGTATATGTACAATTGTATGTACATGATTATATGAATAATAACGGTAGTTCAAATCACTTAGGGCCGGTTACTCAATGTCTGGTTAACACTAATCTCCGGTTAAACATAGTTATCGACGTTACCGACGCCCTGTTTTATGCATGGAGTCGAAGACGTCGATAACGATGTTTAACCGCAGATTAGTGTTAACCGGACATAGAGTAACCGGCAATTAGTGCTGTACAATATGTGGCTGCAATTCAAAGTATGTGTTTTCAATTCAAAGCATGTATTGCTTAACAATTATATATTTTATGTACAATTCAAAAATTATGTGTATATATATATGAGTGTTGTGGGGGCTCCAAGCCACTATGGGAAATTTGAGCCTATTTTGTGGCCAAAAGTAAATTTCTTGACTTGCTTGAAATAAATTTTTTTTTGTCCTATCTTACAGAGAATACTTCAGAGTAAAAAACTGTATACTCTGTTTTTCGATATATTGACTTACCGTTGATTTGATAACCCTCAAACAGATAGTTTCGAAATTTTCTGTAAACGAGAAATGTGTAGCTTGATTTTGTGCCACTTTCAAATGCGAGTATCTCGTAATCTATTTGCTGCTATTCAAACGTGAAAAGTGGAAAGAAAGAGTGACGGTTAGCAGAATATTTATCAATTAAAACTCGTATTATAGATTAAAGGTTGTGCCAAAGAAACGTCCGCATTTAAGTGACTCTAAAGTGAAATTGTACAACTTAAAAAAGCTTATTTAGTGTTTAAAAAAAATGTTTAAAAACGTTTAAAAAAAAAACGCATCATAAATCGGTAGAATAGTCCCTGATCCCTTATTTCCCCATAATCTTATACTGTGATTTTGTGCGATATTAAAGAAATTATAATTTTTCTTAGGTAACTACTTGGTACAAAATCATGAGTTTTATGAAATAATTCACGATGTTATAATTTAAAAGTTGGAAAAAAACCTGTCAGATAACAAAGAGAAAGTTTTAAACTTAAGGTCAGTGGAGGATTCGAGTTGATATTTAAAATAGTGCTACGATTATCCCATGATTCAATAATACAAGGTTCGATAAACTGACAGTTGTCTCCCTCGCACCGCTCCTTTAGCAGTGGCACCGTGTTGCTTCTTTGCAAATTTGCTTGGAAAAAGTGTACCTTTGGTGTGAAATAGAAGTATACGCTTTTGTGCAATATGCTTATTTGTGTATGCATATGAAGCATATTTAACTGATAAAAACATAAATTGTTTTTAAATTGGATTTTTACATCAATCTTATAGTAGTTTTATTTTAATTTTGAGTCTTAATGTTAAGTTTTTATACAGCTAAATAGGACATAAATTACGTAATTCACGTAGATATACCAATATTACGTTCAATATTTCGTTAAAATGCCAGATTTCCTGCAAATACGTTAGAATTTACAAAAGGAATTTCACTACTAATTGCGTACTTTTCTACTACCATTTTCGCACCAAGAGATTTCCATCTTCCCCTTTCTACGTCCTTCGTAAATGCAACTTTTTGTAAGGGAGTGTCAAACCGCGGCTGTCAATAATTATCTAACCTTGTATTATTGAATCATGCGATTATCCTTGAAAACTCATCCGGATTTCCCAAATGCTTCGGTTCGTATCGCTGGATTGTTAAATAAATGCTAACGATGACCAAATTGTATTATAATTAATTTTATTGTACAACAAACAATTTACAATACTCGCTAATACAGTAAAAACACTTAACAATACTTGCTAAAGCAATAACAACGCTTTATTAAACTTGTTAACACAATTAAACTTATAGCTTGCTTATTCGCAACTCACTTCTCTGCTCACTTTACTTTTAGCTTGCTGACTTGTAACTCTCCAACTCCGCTGTGTCGTGGCTCTTATATACCTGCGCCCGCACTCATGGCAACTCTCGAACGTTCTGAAGTTCATCGCTCATTCTCTTTCTCTCGCTGTTCGCAGTGTTCATCCAACTTGACGTTTCTCTTTGCGGAACATTCTACGTCATTCCTCGAACATTCTGCCTATTTCTCGTTGTTCGCTTTGTGTTGCCGCAGTATTCGCCACAATAGAATGTACGAGGCATCTGTTTATTGGGTTGTTGTCCACTGGATCCCGTGTGACCATTACGCTATTTTTTGGAGGTGTGACCATTACGGGTTAATTTTTGCGCGGCAAGGCCACTACTTCTAGTCCTACTACTGGGCCAAGTTTTAAATTGATATCTCAACTTTTAGAATTATGGCCACAAAATAGGGTCAAATTTCCCATAGTGCAAGCCCAGGATTGGGGTCCTCACAGCGGACCCCCCCCCCCCTCCCCCTCTACTTCGGAGAGGCGTTTGTTACCGTCACGTCTCCATTTCGGGAAATGCGAATGCGGTACCAACGCCCTTCTGCGTTTCTTCGGAACGACTGTTTGGTTCCTGGCCTTCGTTCTTGTTGGAGGTGTCGCCGTAGGTATATACGCTGAACCAAAAAAATACTAAAAACCGCCGTAAAGTTAACATTTTTTGTTTACAATTTGCAACTGAAGTGAAAAAATTTTAATTTTAACATTTCGACACTATCATTTTTACGTGAAATTTATGTACATGAAACACGTAAAATTAACATGGCTATCATGTATTATTGATATGATACTCATGTATAATTAACATGATATTTATGTAATACTTACGTGACAGTAACGTTAAAACTACATTTAAAAAATGTTAATTTCAAATGATACTTACGTGAGAGTAACGTTAAAAGTACATTTAAATAATTATGATTTGAAATGAAAATCACATCAAATTGAAATTATTTTCGATAAATTTATTATTTCTTTTTAAATAAATAGGCACATATTTACATATTTACATATTTTTTATATGAATAAACAGGTACTAAAAATTCTTATTTCTTATAACAGGAGTTCCTTCGTAAATGTAGTACAAATGAATAGGTGGGCTTGGGAAAAACTCAACATTTTTTAATTCAATAACATTGTTTATACAACCCACTTTGTACGATTGATAGTGCTCTAAGAAACCAATAATTTCATATTTGTGGACTAGAAAGTAAGCCTCATTATTTAAACTTATAAGTATTTCTTTTATTTCATATAGTTCAATGACTTCGTCAGTAGTTTTTCGAAAATTCACGATATTGTTAAAATACCTACAATCTTTAATCCGAAAATGCTCAGTTTGTTCATATTGAGTTTGGTTAGGAAACCCATCGTTATGGACCCTTATAAATGTTGTAAACTTTAAAGATGCTTTCATGCTTAGACTATAGGTTATATTTTTTCTGGAAGTAATACTTCTTGCATACATTTTTGCTTCCTTGTGCTTAGATTCGAATCGAAGAGTCCATAAGTATTTAAGAGGGCCTGATTGTTTTATGACACGCACATAATGATTTAAAAAGTGAAATTTAGGTTTAAGGGGCTTGTGAAACAATTCCAAATACTTTTCATTATGGGATTTTATTAAAGAATCTAATCTAATGAGCTGCTATTAATCATGTCAATAATTTTGAGGAGCGTTAAAAAAAATAACCAACATTCGTCGTTGTCTGGAATGCGATCTCCTATGATTAGAGGAAGGAAATGTACAAACGTCATCATTTTCCACAATAATGTTAAGCAATATTTTTCTATCACCTGCATCTAACTTTTGCTTCGTTTGATATAAGCTTAATAGAGATTGGCCACTTTTCGAGTTTTTCACCATGTCAATTACACTCTACAATAAAATTAAATTTAGAAAAAAAGCACCGCTTAAAAACAATCGTTACCGTGACTTCAGACGAAGTGGAATTGGTAGCTGGCGAGTCAAGAGGTTGATTTTCAATCCAATTTTTGATATTTGAGTTCATACTTAGATTCGAAACAGATTATTCTGGAAACTAAAAAGAAAATAGTTAATATTCAAACAAATTATACTAGTTACAACTTTATAAATAAATATATTACGTTATTGTGCTTCCAAAGCCTTATTTTTTCCCTTAGTTCTGCTCGATAACCGATATTTTCGTTCCCTGGAAATACCAACGCCAAGTCGTCACAGTTTATGTACTTCAGCCGGTCAAATGTGATTCCAGAAGCTTTAGATGGGTCAGTAAAAACATTATCCATTATGAAAGATTTTTATTAAAAAATAAAACAATCACCATAAAACTTGTCGTAAGCGGCTTCTATATTCATCTATTTTAATAAGTCTTTTAATCGCTGATCTCCTCCTGATTGAGTTTGGACAATCTAGGAAAACTACATCATAGTATTATGATCAGTCAATGTCGTTACAGCTTTAAGTTATACGTGTAAAAAACATGTCTATTATAGAAAATCATTTCTTACCTGTTCTAAATTTCCACTTAATATTTCATACTGAGCAGATTGCGTTATGATTTCTCCATTTCCACCAATTTCTATAGGCGTTGCTTCCAGAACGATATGCTGCCCTGCGTCATTCATAGTCAGCGAAACATTTTCGCCAAATAATAAAGAATTATCACTCATTTTCACAATCTCTATTAACTTTCTGAGTTGTTTTTTATTAAATATTCTCACAGTTTGCACTTTAAAAAGACTATAAAACAATTTCAATGCGATTTTCAATAGATCTAGCGTTTTTTATTCTTTGCATGCGCGAACATGAGTGTCAACTGCTGTTGTCATTTTAATATGAGAATAATATAAAAATGTGGATTTAACAGTTTTCATATCAATTTGACGTGAAACCTATTGTTTTGACCATTTTCAATGTTAATATGACATTTTTCTCTCATTAACATGTGAAATTGATATGACAATTTAATAACTGCCAATGTTGATTTAACAGTTTTCATATCAATTTGACGTGAAACCTATTGTTTTGATCATTTTCAATGTTAATATGAAATTTTTCTCTTATGAACATGAGAAATTGATATGACAATGTAATAAAT